CGCTAGCACACCCTGAGCACATGTGAGTTAATGTATTCCTTTTATGGGCAAGACATATCGTCATAATTTTTCATATAGGGCCGATGCCGATATTTATATTTAAAGCCATTATCGTCCGATTCCGATATTAGTCCGATAATATCGTGCATCTCTAGTAAAATATGCGAAAATAATGCTTTTTTAACATTTTTTAAACGAAGCTGCTCAACCACTACTTTAAACATATTTTTAAGTGCTGACAAAAAGTTGCCTCTTTAATAGTTCAACTATGGAGTTTAAACCCTGATACATTGAAATTACAAAACTAATATTATAGCGGTGTGTCTAATCCAGGGGACGTTTATGGAATGTCAGCCAGATGGGAACATCTCTCACCGCTTTCACCGGAGCTGTGCCTCTCTGATCAGAGGTCAGGTCTACTGCCCCCACTGCGGCGAGGAGGCTAGTCATGCTAAGGAGGTCACGATCCTCAAACCTGACTGTGTTACTACAGTGCCAACAGCTGCTGTGCCCGCGCACAAAAGAGACACTGCCTTAATGGAGTAAGTTTAGGTCATCCTGGTGTTTGAAAATGTTTATCTCTACCTGTTCACATGTCATTTTGCGATGTTGTGATGTGTTTGCGCACCCTGGTTATGTTGTTATATATCCGTTGTGATTGTGTCTCACAGCAGGGCTAAAGTAGACTCTGTAACTGTTGGGGGAGCAATAGACCCTGCTAAAGAATCACTGGAAAGCGTTTTAAATGCACTCGAGGATGGGAAGTAAGGATCTGTGTCTGCATCAGTCCTATCTTAGTCCTGTACATCAGTGATATTCTGATCTTGTATCATTAATTAAATGCATTAGTTTATTTGACTGTTCACCAGTTGTAGATTTGCTTTGTTTGCTTAAAATAAGTATTGAATATTTTTAAAGGTATAAGAAATTCAAGCTGCCCCCAAAGCAGCTTTATTTCTCTGCTAAGAGAGGAGAGCTCCAGAGGATCCTGCATATGCTGGGTATGACCTTTATCAAAAAAAAA